CATTATCCTCCCTACTTCAAAGCTTTGCGTGTCCAACTCATGGACAAGAGTAACGAGATGGGGCTCTAGTCCTGTGAGGGGCTAAGCACAGGGGTGAAAGTAACTTAAAGGACTTACCGATACGCCGGAGTCCTGAGGGGGGCGTGGCCTCAAACAGAAGAGGCGTGGCCTTTAAATCACCCTGGAGCTATCAGCTGCAGGGGTGGCTGAGAGCTCAGGGGCAAATTAAAGGGTCTGGGGCTCCGGCTGCCACGGAGCTCCGGGCCCTTTAAATTAGCACGAGAGCCCTGCCACCGCTACCCCGGGGCTCCGGCAGCAGGGCGTGGGCGGTGCTTTAAAGGGCCGCGGGCTCCCCGCAGTGGCAGGAGCACCGGGCCCTTTAAATCACTGGGGAAGCCAGTCTGGTCCGGCACAGAGTACCGGACCGGACCAGCTTACTTTCACCTCTGGCTGAGCTCATAGGCACTCAACACCTAGCAAGACGTTCCCCCTCCTCAGGTGCTTCTTTGACTGACAAATGGGGGGGGGCACTGTGGGAGAAGCAAGAGGTCCTTTCCCTTCCTATCTCCAGTGGATCAGGGTCCCTGAATCATAGCATATCAGGGTTGGAAGGGACCTCAGGAGATCATCTAGTCCAACCCCCTGCTCAAAGCAGGACCAATCCCCAATTTTTGCCCCAGATCCCTAAATGCCCCCCTCAAGGATTGAACTCACAACCCTGGGTTTAAGCAGGCCAGTGCTCAAACCACTAAGCTATCTTTCCCCCCTCTGAAGCCCCAGAGCATTTCACAGGTGTACAGTTGGTTAGCTTATCGGCTCTTTTTTCACATTACATTAAAAAAGAAACCAATGGAAATTAAATCGCACAAGCCAAAACTCTGAGTTCAGGCTGAAGCTGTGTTCTCAGCCCTCTCTGACATGTCCAGGGTGTCTCTGGAAACGCAGGCTTGCTCCCACTCTTGCTGTTGGTGTCTAGCAGTGAGAGCTTTTCCTCTGCCTGCCTCCAGGCTCTGGTGAGCCCTCCCTGCCCCCAGTCATTCCCTACAAGTCCGCCTCCAGGCTCTGGTGAGCCCTCCCTGCCCCCAGTCATTCCCTACAAGTCCATTTCTCTCTCTCCCTTTCCAAGCACCCGAGCAGAGCACAGACCAGGGGCAGGCGCTCCCTGCTTTCCCCCCTGACACATGAAGAGCGCTCGCTCCCGTGACGAGCCCCCGCTCCCATTCTTGGCCGGGTGTGTCTGGCTGTGAATGGATTGCTGGTGACTGGACTGACTGAGAGAGAGGAGCAGGCTGTGCTCCCTGGGTGTATGGCAAACCTCACGCTGGCAGCAGGAATAGCAGGAGATGGGCAGGTTTGCAAGGTAATTCTATATCCCCCTTCAGCACGGTTGCTAATCAGCTTATCCCCAGGCCAGAACCTGGCAGCTTTGCGGTGGGGTATATCCAACATACTGCATACTAGACCAAATGAGGCCCCCCCTTACTCCACTGTAAAGGTACATGAACTCCATTCAGTCGCAGGTGCTGATTCACCGCTGTGTTACCATAGGGTGCTAGATAGCGATGGAGTCCGACAGACATGGATAGCATGGGCGTGGCCCGTTGATGTCACTGTTGCTTTACAGTCACCCCCCATTTACATCACAGAGCAGAATTTGACCCGGGGGTGCCCCAGGGTGGTCTGAAGGAAGGCTAGACCTTTAGCATGACTTCCGAGTTTCTTGGCTGTCTCGACTGTAAAGCAGGCCTTTGAAGCCAGCATTTGAACAAGCTTCTAGATTTGGGTGGAATGCATTCTAGCGGAGTCTGCCGTGCCGTGTGAGCAGAAGCCAGTTGCCGTATTCAGATCAGGATTTCCACGTACGTGCTATTTAGAATGAGATGCCGGCATGAGAGGGTCGTTTCACAGCTTTTTTATCCCATCAGCCGCTCTCTGTGTCTCTCTGTCTGAAGCACAGCCAGGGGTCTCCTTTCATCTAAGGGATGATGAGGCCATTATGGTAACAGCAGCCGTCGTTTGGGTTGACGTTGTCGACGCTTTCATCTTGTGTTCTAAGTGGTGAAGCATCGGCTGCGGTTCTGCTGTTCCCGGCGGACGTTTAGAGAGAGTAGGGCAGAGGCAGTTCTTTGCACAAGTCCTTCTGGAGCTAACTTTAGCCTCGGCATGGAAAGGAAAATGGCAGTGATCAAGCCGCACCAATATTGACTGACACCCGACCAGTGCACTTCCAGCTCCCCGGTTGAATTCTAGCAGGTACTGCACAGAGGTACCTGCCAGAAAAGCTGTGCCCAGCATCGTGGACCGGGAGGTGCCCACTCCGATTCTCACTTCTGCCCCCAAAACATAAGACCCACAGTGACGGGCGTGTGAAGAGGTACAGAGTCAGGGCATGTGATTCTCATGTGTGTACATGGATGTCTCCTGACACAGCAGGACCCCAACGCTCGGCACTCTATGTACGTCCCAACTGGCTACTCACCCGCTTTGTTCCTCATCTCCTGCTCTCCCCTGGACCTGCATGCCGGTCCCACGGCCCAGCCTCACTCTTCCCCACCCACCAGGCATCTCTGCATTCTCACCTCCCTCTGCTGCCAGCCACCCATCCCCTGCCCACTCAACCATGTGGCTTCCCCTTCTGTTATCTACTTCCTCCCTCCCTGTCCACGACTTTCAATAAAAATACCGTGACTAAAATGTAGCCTTAACTGTAATCATGTCACCTCTTCTCCCCTCATTCTCCCCTTTTAGCTGATCCCTTCCAAAATAACCCCCGACCTCCCCAAATTGTAGAATTAACACCACATTTCCCACCGTCACATTCTTCATGCTGCTTGTGTGTCCTACCCCTTCCTCACCCTGTGTCTGTCTGATCTGTTTAGACAATGTTGTCTCATTGTTTCTTGTACTTTCCTCTCTGGCTATATCCATTTTTGTCACTTGTCTTAGATTTGCAGCTCTTTGGGAGAGGTACCATCTTCTTGTTCTGTCTTTGTACAGCGCCTGGCACAGTGGGGTCCATAATTGGGCTCGGAGGTGCTGCTGCTTGTCCTGCCTGTCATACTGTCCTGGAACGATTAGATTTTTATAGGTAAAATGTTGATACACATCGATTTCACCGTACACAAGCAAAACGACAAACCTATTTCCATTTATGGTCATCTAAATATACAGTTAGGCAAAGTAAGAAAAATGCTGTTTAAGAACTCAGAGTTTGAGTTAGGATATTTGCTTTGTAGATTTTGACTTGTGATGTTGACAGTTTGTGCTTTAATGGGGAGAAAACTTCCTATTTTTTTGACTCTCAACATCTGTTGCCCTTAAATAATTATTGTGCGACCCTCCCAGGAGTTCCTACAACTGTGAAAATGTAAATTGATAAAAAGAGAAAAAATATTAAAACCCAGAATGTTGCACAGTGAAAATTTAGATTGAAAAAAAGCTTAAAAATAAATCTCTCAACGTTATTTTAAAAAATAAAAACCCAATTTTGGCAAGCCCAATTATGATGTTCCTTTAATATTTATATAGTTAATTTCTCCAAATCAGAATAAAAAGCCCTCTTCTTTCGTAGATAGTAGCTTGTGATACCTAGGATCTGAGCGAGATATTTACCTTCACTCTTGTCTTGTTCTTTCCAAACATTTTGCACAGGATTCCTTCTGCTTAGTGCCACTGTTTGATGGAATTTCCCTTCATAGCCCAATAAGAAGGGTGCAGAAATCAGTGCAGCTCTTCTGTGGGTGCGAATGCGCCTGTCGGCACAGGCCTGAGCAAGCCCAGCTGTGTTGCACCAGAGCAGATCAGGGGGTGAACTGTGATGGCTCTGCTCCAGGAGCAGGGGAATCTGCTGGAGCGCGTGAGCAGGTGACTTCATCTGTGTGCCTGCTCCTTGCACTGGCCTCTCCCCACCCAGCGGCGCCAGAAGGGGGTCAGCGGCCCTGCTCTCCCCCACGTGTGGGTCGCGTAGCCGTTCGGGAGAGTAAGGGGGTGCCATGTGCCCCTTTGCTCCCCTGTGCAGGAGCATCAAGCAATGGTCTTGCCCAGCATGAAACGTATTGTTGTTTGTTAAATCACTGTCAGCCCAGATTCAGACATGGAGGGCCTGGGGTTTCAGCGGGTGTCTTGTAGAGGAAGGATGCTGTTTGCTGGCAGGATTTGGAGAATGGAGAAGGCTGTGCTTTCTGTGTTGAATAACAGGAATGCTAATAACGAATTCCCCTCAGAGCTAGCCTACACTAGAAAACTAGGCTGAACCAGCTACGTCACTGAAGGGTGTGAAAAATTCACCCCCTGCAACAGACATAGTTAAGTCAACCTAAGCCTCAGTGTAGACAGTGCTAAGAATTCTTCTGTCAACCTAGCTGCTGTCTCTCGGGGAGGTGGATTCACTCCAGTGATGGAAGAATCCCTGTGCCGCTGTAGCATTTCTAGACATTGGCTCCATATTTAAGATCCAGTGCTCTGGGCATCTATCTCTTAAATTGATCCTTGCAAAAAAAACCATAGACGATGGCCACCTGCAAGTAGATATGCCTCGACCCCTGCCCTCCGCAACGACTCTACCCAAAGGGGCATGATGGTAGGCTTGCAGCATTCCCAGATCTAGGCTCTGGCGCCCCTAAGTGGGCAGTAAGTTCCAAAATCGAGGACCCCTGCTCTGCAATCACAGGTGTAGGTGCACCTGAGCTAGCTCCCACCTAGCTAGCTTGAATAACAATAGTGCTGAAGCCCCTTGCGCACTTACGAGACTCCCAGGTGGGCTTGTACAGTCCATGCTGCTGAAGCTTCCTGGCTATTGCTATTCAAGCTAGCTAGATCAAAGGGTGTGTCTGCAGCCACACCTCTGACAGCAATGTAGACATGCTCTCAGAGAGCACCCGGCCAGCAGCCGCGCTGGTTTATATATAGCGGCTCTGCTGACCTCAGCTGCTGTGGTGTGTCAGATACAGAAATAGGGCTGTCAGCCTCTGAACAACATGTCTCTCTCCCATCTTTTCCAGCGTCTCCATCAATTAAGCTCCTGGTGGACGACCCCATCGTGGTGAACCCCGGCGAGGCCATCACCTTGGTCTGTGTGACGACGGGAGGCGAGCCGGCACCCACTCTTACCTGGGTGAGATCCATTGGAGCCCTGCCTGAAAAAACTGGGCTGAACGGCGGGACCTTGACGATCCCGGCCGTGGCTTCGGATGACGCCGGCACGTACAGCTGCATTGCCAATAATAACGTGGGGAACCCTGCAAAAAAGTCCACCAACATCATTGTAAGAGGTAAGTTGGGCTTGGATGCTCTCAACATGCTCCTTTGAGGGCTAACTCTCCTTCATTCCTCTTTGGCAGGGTGGCTGCCTGTAAATTTGTGTCCTACTGTGCCAAGCACGGTGTTGGCCATTTATAACAACATAAGAAATAAATCAGTACTGGATCAATGCAGTTTCAACTGGGGTTTAGGCACACCGTGACTACCTCTGTAGTCCAGCCCTGAGGGCCTGCCAAGGAGTAGCAGCTGGGGCCCCACTGCCTCGCCCCTTGGAAAAGGAGGACAAGCAGCCAGAGGCCTCCAGTCCTGTTGGATGCTATCTGTGGGCAGGCTGGCCGGACCTTCTGCATTTTTCTCCAGCCACATATGGAGTCCTCTGCTGGGGTGGTGTTGGCAGGAGCCCCTAAGAGAGCAGTTCTTGGAATTTATACCCCACTGAGATGCATGGGGCAGTCACCCTGTTGGAGGGGAGGGATAGCTCAGTGGTTTGAGCATTGACCTGCTAAACCCAGGGTTGTGAGTTCAATCCTTGAGGGGGCCATTTAGGGATCTGAGGCAAAAATTGGGGATTGGTCCTGGTTTGAGCAGGGAGGTGGACTAGATGATCCCCTGAGGTCCCTTCCAACCCTGATATTCTATGATTCTATGCTTTAGGCTTTCTGCAGTTGTCACCAGGGTCACATGTTCATTCTTTTCTTCACGCCCACAAGGGTGGGAAGCTTACTACCTTGGGGGTTTCCCTGAAAGCTGATATTCTGATGTGATCACATGTCTGCAAGTGCTGTGGCCTGTTGTATTGGAATAAATGGGCTAACGGTGTTTATATAACTTAGTTAATGGCTAATATTAAACAGTGTCACGCAAGTTTTGGGGTTTGGTCGATAGAAACTTTAGCTTGCTTAGTACTCTGGTAAACACACTGTTTGCTTTTGTAGCTAAGCAGTTGTTCTCCCTCAAATCTCTTCCATTAAGGGCCCACCACAGGAGTGAGAGGCTAAATAGCTCCTCCCCTCATTATTTAGGTTATTATTTAGGCTTAGTTTAAAAAAAAAACAGTTTTCATTTACTGATTTTTAATTTGCCACTTATTTTGGTTGCTAGGCAGAATTTTACCACAGTTTTTGAGTTTTATTAGTAACTCCTTTTGTTTGGATTAATTTAGATTGATGGGTTATAACTTTTTTCATTAATATTTGATATGACATTTTATGAATTTACACTTACTTTTTAAAGGTGACCTTACAGTTAGGGTAAATTTGAAGCCCAGTTATTACAACAGGCCTGAGTCCATGGTACCTATAATTTAATCCAGGTAAGGGGACAAGGAAGAATTTGTGCACAATAATTACTCCTAGGAGAAAACTAAATCTGCAGAGTTGTGTTGGCTTGCAGTGTGAGCCTGGGCTAACCACAGAGATATGGCTGATTAGTTTGAAGGAAGATTCCTATTGGTTGGTAGGTGGATTAATCTACCTGAACCAAATAGTTCAGTTGAAACTAATTTTCTATAATCTAAGATGCCAATGGTACGGAAACATAAACTCCCACACAGTGGGTGCTTTCAGTAATAACTTGTGATTCATCAGACTCGGGAGAATCTGCTGTATAAGGAGCAATGGTGTGATTATTTCATGAGAGCATAGGCTCTGTTTGCTCCTTAGTGCCCAGCAATATTATACTTTCCAACAGGCCGATGAAGTAGTGTGCGTTGTTCGGGAGAGAGCATAGCACCAGGCTTCTGTAGGAGTTTGTTAGGCTGTTGCAACGGCGTTATTTGTCAGATCATTCCATTGGAATCTTTTGACATTCAGCTTAAAGCTTTTATTGTCCGGAAGCAAAAATGCTGTGTTATTTCCAGAATCAGGCATCCACCCTCATTCGCTGGGATTTACAACTGTCATAAGACTGGGCAATGAGGAACGCACGTTTGGAATAAGCAAAAGGGAAGGAAAAGCTTTTCATGTAAAGAAATCTCGATATTTTCATTGACCCAAAAAGCAGCGTTAGAGGGGTCCTTGGCTCCCCACAGGAACCAATGTCAGGAGTCGGAGGATAATAATACTCTGCTCGTACATTTTTATTTATGGGAGCCCATGCCTGGAAAAATATCATTGAAAACATATCTGGGTTTTCCTTTTCTAAAGAGCAGCCTGGCCCAGTTCATTCCTAACTCAGTCAGGCGTGGGGAAGAAATCACCAGCACCCCAGCAAACGACAGATAAGGCCCAGCCACCCTCCAGGCAAAGGGGCTGAAGAAAACATTGGGTTGCACTCGTAGCTGCAAACCATACCCCTCAACGGGGGCTGTGTTTGGCACAGCAACTTGGTGGGAGTTCCCAGGGACACTGACCACTAGAGGAGCCTACCTGACGCTACAGCAGCGGAAGGGTGCAGCTGTGGCCCCCTTTCCTTGGAATGGGCCAACTTCTGCTGTTGCTTGAAGCCTTTCCACCTCTAACCTAGGTGGTTGATCGAGGCCGTTTGCTGTATGGCTGCACGCGAGGTGGGGAGAGAGAAGAACTTCCCTCCCTCTTAACTTCTGCAGAACTTTCCTAGGAATGGCAGCAGGGTGATCAGAGAGCCCTGGGGTAGTGGAGGGAGGTCCGCTGGAGAGGCTGGGGAGAGGAGGTACTGTGAAAAGGCAGTGGCTCCTCTGGCGATGAGTTGAGGTTGGCTTCTCATGATATGGCCCAGTCATTCTACTCCAGATTTGTTTCTCTATTTCAGAAAAGCTGGTCAAATTCTCTTCTGGCATCACCAGGTGCACCACCTAGTGGCAGGAAGTCAGGGAAGTTGCATCTGCTCATGCCTGTGGTCAATTTTGCCCATAAACTTTAATAATTTAAGTGCACTGGTCTCTATTATGATATTTTTCTTCTTTCATATTTAAAGGGACAGGACCAACTTAAAAAGTCCTTCTCTCTGGCAGAGTTTAATTTACCTTTGTTATGATTAATACCCGAGTTTAACAGAGCTGAAATAGATTTGAGAAAAAAAAATCTGATCTTAGTTTGTTTTTTGGGTGTGTTGGACAGTACTTTGAATGCTGTCTTGTTGCTTTCCCTATATATCTATGCTCCTTTTCAGTGTCTGGATTTCCACACAGCAGCCGAGGACAGAGAGGAACATTTATTTAAAATATGAAATTGTATATCCACAAATTATCCACAATTCTCATGGAGACTCCAGGACAGGGGTTGGAGCTGTACTATGCCTGGATGATTTTAAAACCAGGTGATTTTGCTGTATATTTACCCTGGACCCATGGCCTTACCGTCCGAGGCTAGTTCTATCAGCGTTGTCTTCATCGCCAACAATTTTCTTGGCTTGATTTTCGCAGCTTTCTTCTCAGCTAATGGTATAAAAAAGCCACATTTATGACTACTTCCTGTCCTCTAATGCAGGCCTTGAAACCCATGATTGCAAATGACGTCACCAAACCCCAGCAGACAGTTCATTTAAGAACCCAACCACCTTGAGATGTAACCCTTATAAACAGATTCCATGTAGGTCACAAGTGAAAATGATTCTGTCAGTCCATCCTCATCTCCATTGACCCATATCCCAAAACATCCAGCTTGGTGCACTGATCAAGAGAAGCCAAGAGTAGTAAGTGAGAGAGAGAGGATGGGCCAATGGTTCCTGCATTGGTTTGGGACTCGGGGGACTTGAGTTCAATTCTCTACTCTGCCACAGACTTCCTATGTTACCTTGTTTATTTTCTGTGCCTCAGTTTCCCCTCTGTGTAATGGGGATAAGAGTGTTTCCCTAGGTCACAGGGTGTTGTGGAGGTAAACGCATTAAAAATTGTTGCTTCCCTAATTCACCTGCATGTGGGTGTGTGCGTGCGATGCAATGCTGAGAACCATGAATAGAATTGCTGCACAGGAGGGTGGCAGTTGATCAAACACACAGATACACAGGTTACAAACTAGAGATGTCAGAGCCATATGTGAGAAGACAGGCGTGGAGGGCTGCACCCTGTCACAAGTGGGGGCTTACCCAGAAATTGCCTTATCCGTGCTCATGGATAACCTGCTCGAGAGGGGCTAGTGCACAGGTTTGGCTGTCCGGACAATGGAGGAGACCCTGCAGTGGCTCGCAGAACAGCAGAAGTAGAGGCAGGAGACTCTGCAGGCCTTCCCGCAGTCCCACCACCTGGAGAAACACTCCTTTATTCGAGAGCAAGCTCGCGTACAGCAGCAGCTACTCCAAGGTGCGGTGAGTCCTGCAGTGGGCATAGGCAGTAGGCCTCCGTGACATGGGCTCTGCAGATGATCCCGACTCATTCTTGGTCGCTGTTGAAAGAGTAGCTGTGGCTGAAGACTGAGAGAAGGCAACCTCGGCCCTATGGCTCGCACCCAACTTGACAGGGGAAGCCCAGGCAGCCTGTGTGGCTCTAAGTGATGAGCAAGCACTGGACTATGAGGTGGTTAAAGCAGCCTTCCTAGATGGGGGGGTGGGGGCTTATCCACTGAAAAGTAGCCACAAAAGTTTTGGGCTGCTAGATGGTCTGGGGTGTTACGGCCCTGGACGTTTGCCCAGAAACGGATGGACTGGGCCACTCGCTGGTTGAGGCCAGACACTCTGATTGGGTGAGATCATGGATGCAGTAATTTTTGAACAGTTCCTTCAGGAGAACACGCAGGTATGGGTTAGGAAACATTAGCTGGTCATCCTAGATCCTGCGGTCAGACTCACAAAAGAATTCGTAGAGGCGGACATCCCCAGGAAAGAGGGTTGACAGTACCAGGGACCAGTGCGGGTGAGAAGGGTCGGAGAACCCCTGGCCGGAAAGGTTGCAGAGAAGAAGGAAGAGCCTAGAGGGAATCTTGCTGGGACTCGGGGTATTGTCTGTTATGGGTATGGGCACCAAGGACACATAAAAAGAGACTGCCCTTAGATGGGATGTGGGTTAGCAGAGTTCTGCGGTTGGGCGGGTCCTCTTGGGCATGGAAGGAAAAGGAAATGACCTCCTGTTTCTTCACTAGACCCACTAAATTGATGCTGC